CTTTGTGTATCTGCACTTTTGACAAGGTTATCTCTTGTTTCAATACTCGCAGTCGCTACGATGAAGAATAAACAGTAATTTGAAATGTTGCCAGGAAAGAATAAGATCCATTGATATTTCAGTTGAATAGTGTTTTTTACCTGATTTCTGGAGACATCCTCTTCTATTGAAATAACCATTGTTTATATCTTATCTATATGTGTTTGTAAGACCAGACTTTTATTATCCCTTGTTTTGCGAACACGACGAATGAACAGGAGCCGAAGATGAAAAATTAAAATAAAATTTTATTTCAGCGTAATTTCTCGCGCCCACCGACTTGTAAGTGCAAAAAATTGCTAAAAAAGTGGGAGTATTATGATCAAAGTACTGAAGTCTCACACAGATGAGAAACAAAGTTATACATGGAATAAAATTTTATTTTATTTCTTCTCTTCGATCAATGATCTCACTTACAATTCTTCGAGAATCACACAAATCTAATGGAAAAAAATTATTAATTTTATTTTTTTTCTGCCCTCCTCAACAAAATTGCCTTATAAAAACTCGAGAAACAAGGAATAAAAAAAGTCTGGCCTAATTGACAAACATAGGAGCTAATCCTACCTCATACCTACTTGAGGATTGTTGTAATTATGTTTGACAATTATGAATATTAATGAACAAGTACTTACACAGTGTACCATGAGTAAACAAAAACTTGTGCACTTGTTATAGAAAAAGAAACATGCATTTTTTTTAACAATATATATATATATATGTCAAAATGTTTTTATTTAGTTTAAAAAAAAGTCCCCAAAAAGACCATCCTGCTACCTTAATGTATAGTTCAGTTCAGTTAATTCCACTCGAACAGCAACAGCAGTTGGACAGTTTTCACCATTCACAAATCATTAGTGCATATATGAGCATAATAACTGATTATCAGAGCAATAAGAATTTGGTAAAGACCAGTTCATTTTATGTGATTCACCCTCAGACCACTGAAAGAGACCGGCCGAGCAAGTGCTCAAATTGGAATAAATCAACACAAAGTAGTAGGCATGTGCTTGTTACACCTGCAAACTAAAACAGGGCATTATTCTTATTAACTATTAACTCCCCAAGAACAAATAAAATATAGTGTTAGTTAATTGATGTCGAATTACCAGTTGACATTTGACCTTATGCTTATGTCACAGAATCACATGATTGATAGAGATTTGTCAGAGATTTCTAAATATTAGTTGGTATTTATATCTCTGTAGGTTGTTACCAGAGTCACTGAGGTGGTTGATCAATAAGAACCGATTCATTAAAGCTC